AAAAAATCGAAGAATCATATAAAAAACGTGACCTAGTACAATGTGTGAATTGCCATACGGTCAGTACGGCCATACACAAATGTACTGTGCACATACACCAAGATGCGTTCGATGTGCTGAGCATCACATCACCTCAGCATGTATAAAGTCTCGAAATCTTCCCGCCAAATGCGCACTATGTCAGGATGAACACCCTGCAAACTATAAAGGATGCCAAATTTACAAGAAGCTTCAAAGACATCGCAACCCAAACTCAAGAACCATCCAACCAACTTCAATCAACAATCAGTCCGATCCAAAAACCACAGTGAAGGCTTCTTCGACTGAATTCAATCCCTCGTCCTCTCAAAATAGAACATATGCAAATGTAACCTCAAACCAAGAACCTACAAAATCCAACAATAGTAATCAATTAGACACAGGTACCTTATTATCTAAATTTATCAGTGACTTCCAAGCTATCATAAATCCATTGCTCTCCCTTCTTACAACAGTCCTAGTCAAACTTGTAGCCCAAAATGACTACACAATACTGAGATCAAACCACCCAGACGGTACCGCACACGGGGGAGCGGCGATAATTATTAGATATACAATTCTCTTTCATAACGTCTCTCAACTAAGCGAACCCCATATACAATCCTTCACCATCCAAATTACTCTAGACCATTCTCCTATCTCCATCTCTGCAGCATACTGTCTCCCTAACCAAATCATTTCTACAATACTATTTGAGCAATTTTTCAACTCTCTTGGTAATTAATTTATTGTTGGTGGCGACCTCAATGCCAAACACACCCAATGGGGGTGTCACTCTAACTCACCAAGAGGTAACTCTCTTAGACAAATTATTACTGCCAAAAACCACTTAATTATCTCACCCCAAAACCCCACATACTGGCCAACATCACCCCGAAAGCGACCAGATATCCTTGACATATTCGTCGCTAAAATACCGAACCGATTTAACACCATCATAGATAATCTAACAAATCCTCACTCGGACCACTCGCCAGTACTTCTCACCCTTGAAACCTCTCCTCTAAAAAGATTAATGAATCCATCATTAATCAATGGAATAGTTAACTAGACAAAATTCCAATCGATACTTACAAGCGACATTAACCTGAACATTAGTTTAAAATCCCCAAACCAACTTGAGGAATCAGTACAATATCTAATAACAACAATACAAAATGCAACATGGTCCACTTGCAAACCAAAAATAACTGATAATTACAATCAAAATAATCTCTCTTTGCCTACCTATTTAAGATCTCTTATTGTTCAAAAACATCGTGCCAGAGCAACCTGGCAGAGAACAAAATATCCTACCGATAAAACCAATTATAATCACTTATGTACATTACTCAAATCAATTAGTCATTTATTTTTTGTTTAAATGTTTGAATAAAGTAAATTTGAAAATAACCGCTCAATTCTAGCTGAACTATAAACTGTTTTAAACAATTGATTAATCATCACATTGCCAATTTCTTCAGATTTTTATTTTGCTTCATTATAGCTTTCCACCAAGCGAGTGGTGAGGATATATAATATATATAGTGTACGTAGTATGAATGTGTTCTCCACATTACACCACAGACATAATAATATGTCTATGCATTACACACAACGCAATGGAACGTCGTCCGTCGATAAAATCCATTGTAACTTGCTGTGTTGATAACGGACAACCAACCTGATACTAAAGAGCCTAGATAGTTACTATCTAGGCTCTCTATCTGATACTATACGTTTATTTACCGAGTTATGAAAAACGTTTCTGCTCTGTTGTCCATTATTCGTTGTCATATCCTAAGTTGAAACTTTAAAAGGTCTCATTAGAAAGAAGACATCAAAGTATTAAAAGATGCTGGCGAAGTAATCGCTATTCTTAAAGGAGAAATATTAGGAAGTCGCAAAATAGTTGAGTANCTAACCTAAGTACGTACTTATAATAGTACCTACTATTATTTATATTATGTTTAATTAGTTTGAATAAAGCTGTTTTAATGCAAAGTATAATTTTATTAGCTATACTTATGTGTTACCGGTTTTCATAAATATTTAATTTGTGTATATATTTTAGTGGTTTATGAATTAAAAAGTACAATTGTTTTCAAATAATTTTAATCACAACAACTGTCCACAAAATTATGTAAAATATATGAAAAAAAGACATTCAATTTATTTCAAGTATTATTATTATTTTTTTTTACATTGAAAGCCCCTTTTTTTAAAACGATTATTTATAAAGATTTTTATTTTGAATCTATCCGATTTTCTATCGTAGTGTTTTTATCTCTGATTTAATTAAATAAAATCTATAACCGCCTTTTTTTTACCATTCCAAAGTAGATTAAAAAAACGTTTCAAAAATTGAACATTGAAATCAATAAAAGAAATTCTACATAAGGTGTACTCTCTGTTTTCTATTTCAATCTTCAGCCACTGTGTATTGTGTATAAAACTACGGAAATTATACGATTTTTTATTAATTATTAGTAATTACTTCACCAGCAGTTATTATCATTATTTACACATTTTCAAATACAATTAATAAGTTAATAATTCTGTAGAATATTGAATCCATATACTTAGTAGTAAGTAGGTATTAATATTAAACATCAGTGTACATACATTTTATTTAGATACACACAAATAAACATAAACACATAGATAAAAAAGATGAACACAAAAACTATAATCTTAAAAATGTACATAGTAATAATTCCGGTATGAGGTGGCCGACCCGGTATGGTCACGGCCTAAAATGTATATGTATCATTAAAATATCGTAACGAAATTAAATAGATTATTATAAAACACTACAATTTTATACTCAGTGTTTGTTTCGTCTATATAATATATAATTTATCAAGACAGAATCATTATTTTCGTTTAACGATTTAATATTATATTCCGTCGCCATTGCGCAAAAAGTGACTATAGGGCGGAGTCTCCAAATATATTCAAAACGTTTTTCGAATTTACATAAAAGTACCGCCGCCGGTAAGATAAAGTGTGTAAAATTCGCTCGTCAAAAGAGTTTTTTCCCGTGGGAAGGAGGGGATAGATACACAAGCATTTTTTTAAAACTAAAAACTTATCGAAAATAAATCATTTTTTTGTTCACGTCTATCTGATATAAACATAGAAATCATGTCAACGTTTAGAAATAATTGCAATAGGTTATTGGACCTAACAACTGTATGCGACCGCTTTGAACATTTTTTTTTACACTTTTTTAACTTTTTGCTCGACGACGATTTATTAGGTATAATATTTTGTTATTATTAAGTGACCGACACAAATCGCACAATCTTTTCTGATATATACGTACCAAACCCGATACACTTATACCGTTTTTAGTATTTGGATTATTGACGCGTACTTGATAATTAATAATGTTATTTTTTTTTTGTTACCTAAATTTGATAATTATTTATGAAATTAAATTGGGAAACGAGTAATTAAGTTAATAAATTGATTAATAAAGCATTAATTGAGTTCAAAGTGCATAATGGAATTACTAAGTTATTATCAATATGTAACATAAATGTTTTGATATTATTTAAAAAACAACCATCATATCTTATTTTATCTTATATCAGGTGATCCATTTAAGTGGGCACACTCATTATCTCAGAAAGTATTAATGTTTTCAAGAATTTGTATTCGAGAAAATTTAAGCAATAAGCTGTTCTACAATTTTATGTTTATATTATTTTTTGTCACTCTCATTTTTGGGAGTAGAATCACTACCTACTTGTGATTATAAAATGGCAATCTGTATTTAAAAGTCTATAAATAGATGGTGTATTAGTTAAAATCAATTTTATTTTTGAAATTTTTGATTTCAGTTGATCCGTTGACGAGATATTCCACTTTTAAATATGGGTTGGAGAAGAGTGGTGGAGAGTACTTTATATGGTGATACGGCGAGCGGCGTATTAATGCACCACTACTCTCCTTCAATTTAAAATTAAAGTGGAATATCTCGTAAACGACTTTAAGGTAATCAAAAATTTCAAATTCAAAATTTATTTTAAATAATGCGCCTTCTTTTTTTGGATTTTAATTATAGGTTGCTATATTTTAAATTCAACAGTAGGTAATGATTTTACCCCC